AAGAAGAAGAAGAAGAAGAAGAAGAAGAAGAAGATGGGCGGAAGAGGAGGAGGAGGAGAGAAGAGGAAGGAGAAGAAGATGAGGGGGAGGCGGAGAAGAAGAAGAAGAAGAAGAAGAAGAAGAAGAAGAAGAAGAAGATGACGAGCGGAGCAGTTTCTTTTTTTTTTTCTTACCTGTCGTTTATCTCGCGACCTATCGCTGACGAATGGAACAAAAAAAAAGAAGAAAAAAAAGATAGTCGGAAGAGGAGGAGGAGGAGAGAACAAGAAGAAGAAGAGGAAGAAGAAGAAGAAGAAGAAGAAGAAGAAGAAGAAGAAGAAGAGAGGGGGACGAGCGACGGCCAACTCCACGATGATGGCGATGGGCGACGGGCGACTCCATGGCGATGGGCAAGGTGTGCTGGGGGGGCCCGGCCCCCAACCGGGCCGCCCGCCTGGCCAGGCCGGCCGGGACCTCCCCCGGGCAGGCGCTGGTCGGCCGGGCAGCCCGGATCCGTACACAGAACTAATCAAAATAAAAATAGAATCATTTGTTGGGTCTGTTTGCAGAGTGGAATCTTGCCCAAACTTATCACCTGGAATCTACCCGTCCCTCAGTTCTTCTTCAATGTCTCTTGCCATCAACGTCCCTGAGCAATCCGGACAGCGTGCGTGTCTAAAGGTGTGCACACGGCCCACCCCTGTGCCCCGAGTCCTGCTGAGCTGGCCAGCCCTGCACAATCTTTATCCTCGCATGCAGCGAGCCTTACACCGACCAATTGGCTGATCAGGAGGCGTTCTTGTGGACGGCCCCCGAAGTCCTCAAAATTTATTTAACGTCGCAAACAGGACGACGACCACAGCCAATGGAAGGTCCCCGTTGGTACTTATTTCTAGACGTCCGGTGTCGTCTTTCCCATAGGGCTGGCCTGCCCTTCAGAACCCCTCTATGGCGCAGCGAGTAGATAAAGGACAAAGCAGCAAAGCATGTGTGCTCTACTCCCGGTGGGTTGGCATGGTGACCGTGACCCAGTGCTTCGTCCAGGGGCCTTCAGATAGCACCACCCTCTCCTTCCAGATGCTCCACGTGAAGGCTGGCGGCTCCCAAGGTTGAGCGCACACGACTCCTCACATGAGAACTCTAAAGACAGAACACACATCCTCACGGTACGAAGTGTTGAAGAGGGTAGATAAGGTTAGATGCAACGTACCTCAAAATAGCTGCCCCCAACCACAAATATTCTCACCAAATGACCCGATGTTGATTGTGATGACCAATCGCTGCTTCGGCACAACCAGCATTGCACAGTCGTTCCACCTCAGCACCAATCACACATTGACTAGTTCTCATCACGCCGCGAACACCCAATATCACACCTCATAGCCTTCCTGGCGAACCCCTCTCCACCTAGGTCGCCTGCTTATCTTCCCCCTCCTCACTACACACATCCCACGGCACGGTCGCTCACCTCACACACCGCGTGCATGTACCACATTAGGCAAAAGACAAGTGCCAGATTAGCGCACCGAACCACAGCTCCGATACCAAATTGCAAGGAAGACGAGCAATAGCGAACTTCAGAAATCAAACAGCATCATACACATGAGACCAGATAGTCGTGACCTCGAACCAATAGGAGAATTGCATCACGAGTTTCACCAAATAAGAACACAACAAAAACTCATAATTGACAATGCTGGAATAGTCTCATCATCATCAACGAAGAACCAATGTCGCTACCCTATCTGGCGCTCGGCGCCCAAACTACAGATGGCAGATCCTATCTAGCCTAATCTACAAGCCGCCGATGACGTCAACAGCTCCCCGAAGTACGAGTAGATCTCGGCCAATGCCGAATGCTTCAAGCAACAGGTATATCTCTCGTATCACTCACAACCTCGTTCCCCAACTCACAGACGCCACATGCACCCAAGGACCACCATGCGCCCCATCCACCATACAGCAGCGCAGCTCGGCTATGGCTGCCTGCTCCTTCCAGCTCGCCCGTGAGCGCGTGAGCGCTGGCCAGCGATAGCGCAGCAGCGCTTGCACACAAAGCAGCCAATGCCCGAATGCCAAATGCGTGGGCTGGCCCTTTCCTAAATGGAAGTGGCCAGCCTGCTTGCGTGCAGCCTGGCTGCGCTGGGCCCCTGCCCAGAAACTTCCGGTTGGCCCAGGGAGGTTGAGCCTCAGACCAAACGAATCAGGCCCAGGGCCACCGACAGTTACCGTGCCCAACTGCCCACTGTCTGAGTTGGGTCTATGCTGCGTATCTCGCCCAGGGCCTGATTTAGATACATTCGGTAGAGGAGGCCAGGGCCTGGACGCCTTCAACCAACCGGCGCTGCGCAACTGCCTGAATTTTCCCCAGTTGCGAAGTAATCCAAAATAGGCCTCTTGTCGTCTGTCGAGCCTGCCTTCACTTAGGGCGGCCGACCTGTTGCAAATAGGGGCCCAGTAGGGCTTATCGAGGCCTCTGCCTCGCACTTGCTTAAACTTTATTCATTTTAGTTTTGCAAATTTAAATATTCTTTAATTAAATATTTAAAGTTTGCCCAAATTAATTTTTGCTAATTTAAATATTCTTTAATTAGTTATTTATTTTTTGCCAAAATTAAAAATTATTTAAATTAACTCGCATTTTCCGATTAAACTTGTTTAATTAAATAATTTAATATTTAATATTTAATTTTTCAAAATTCGAATTTTTTGGTGGGGGGGAAATTTTCTTGATTAGTGTCAAGTCCGAGGTCAGGGCAGAAAGGGACTGTCTGTGCATTGTTTGCCTCCTTTCCCTTCCCCCCACCCCTGTTCTCTCTCTTCTCCTCTCGGTACTGCGGACTTCAGTCTCCGGCCACGTCAGCATTGTGCCACATCAGCAGCGTGCCACGACAGCAGATTGCAACATCAGCAGCGTTGCCACCTCAGCGTGCCACGTCAGTGTGCCACGACAGCAGATTGCACATCAGCAGCGGCCACCGCAGCAGTGCCAATCAGCAAACGACGCCAGGACTACTTCATGCGCCGCAGTCAACGGCTTGCGGAGCGCGGATCCACAGGAACCAAGCCCCAACAGGGACCCAAGACACCTCGGATCCCATGCAGACAACGCACGACCATGGCCGCTACCGCTGACGCCAATGCAGAAGCCAGCCCCAAGAGGCCGGTTGCTCCTCCTCTGCCAGTTCGGCAGGCAGATGAAACGCAACGAGCGTTTCTGGAACATCTCCAGCTATACTCGGAGATTACTGCAGCTGAACTGCGCAAATGGAAACAGGAGGAAGCAGCCCGCCAGCAGGCAATCCAACGCCAGCTGGCAGAGGCAGAGGCAGCACGTCAACAGGCCGCAGCCGAAGCTGCAGCAGCAGCAGGTCGAGGCAAGTCAGAATCAAGCTCGTTACCAGACCACAATGGACCTTGCAAAGGACGAAGCCACATACCGCAGGCTACTTCGACGACAGCATTTCCAAGCAACCGAAGACCAAGAAGAGCCGACCGAGGAAGAGAGCAACAAGGAATCCACAGCAGTATTGATGGAGAACCTGTTGTACACGTGCAACTGGAAGCAACGCAAACTGCTGGCCATGCGACAGATCTTCATCCGCTACGAAGCAACGTTTCGGACGCAGGAACAGAAGATCACCGCCTTGCAGAACGCGAACAGCCAGCAGCAGGCCATCAACGACCAGCTGCAGACCACTGTCAGTACAAGATTGGCACAATTGTCTGCAGTTGAGTCAACGGGCAGTGCAGCTGTAGACTGCAGCCCAACTTTGGCCGCTCAAGCCAAACAACTCGAGGAGCGGATCAACCACATCGTAGCATCCCTTGGCGACATCAGCAAGTTTGCTGGAGCATCGACAGTCAGCAATCAGCTGCAGACGCTCAGCGACTGCGTTCAGCAACAACCGGCCGCCGTCACCAAAGAATGGAAGATGCCAAACTTCAAGATTGAGAAGTTCGACGACTACCACAAGACCGATCCGCTGCAGTGGTGGATGTCATTCAATGCAGAGGCAGACGTACATCACGTCCCGCCCTTGCGACGGCTTGACGCACTTTACCTCCAACTTATCGGAGGGGCGCAAGCTTTCATGACGCACATGGCCGTCACGTTACAATGCACCATCGCCACCCTCCACACCAAGATAACGTGGGAGGAATTCGAGAAGAAATGAAAGACCCGGTTCATGGTCAACAACGATAAGCCTCATGCCTTGAACAAGATCTTCCGCATGTTTCAAGGCCAACAACCATCACGGGAGTGGCTGACGGAGTGGCAAAGACTCGTCGCCACCCCGAAGTTGAACCTGCCATTCGATGCAATCCAAGCCGAATTTTTCGCCCGCTCTTGCGATGCCTTGACAGCTGCCCTTGGCAGCGAATTCCAGTATGAGACCTTTGATGCAATGATCTCAAAGGCAAGGGAGCTCATACAAGGTAACCGGCGCGCAGCCAATGAGGCCCGCCAACAGCCCGGTTACGTGGAGAAAGGCAAAGGTCAGCAGACGCCGCAAGTAGCAGCGATCCAGCAAGGATCTAGTGAGGACCACGCAGCCGCGTCTACATCATGGCGGCAATGATACCACCGCAATGTTCAAGACCCCGAGGGGGAAAACATAAGGCGAAACCAGCGTCGGCGGATGGAGCACGACAGTCACCATGGATGAAATTCGGTATCATCGAAGACATGTTAAAGTTGAGGCTGAAATGAGGATGTTGTTTATGGTGCAACAGCACCAAACACATCACTAGCGCATGCCTCCACAAGGATAAGGAAAATGTCAAGCGTCCAAGCTCGGGAAACTGAGCACCGCGGGAAGTGCAGCGACATCACTCCCCAATCCGCCGGACTCGGCTGCCTTGCTAGCAGTCTCTCTCACGTCCGGGGATGACGCGGTAGTCGCAAGTTCTCGGATTGACTTCGAGAACTATGTTGTCGAGCTGGTCTTGCCGTTGAACCAGCCTCTCCACGTGCAAGATCCAAGCGCATGCGCGGTGTTACCGCTGTTGAACAACGAACCGGTTGCTTCGCCAGCCCTCCTATCGGAGGATCCGTCAACTTGGTCGAGTCTCGAGGAACTCGACCCGTTGACAGTTGAGTTCCAATGGTTGCCTCTTCCCTACAACGGTTTTTTGCCAACACCGCATTGCAACACCTTGACGGCACATTTGCGCGAATACTTGCACGCTGCAGTACCACCTCCATCGACGGACGGCGGAGTAGCGGTTGTTGACCTTCGTAACTATCTTGCGAAGATCGACCGTGCGCACGCAACACAACGGTACGTCGACATCGACGCACCACTCCTCTACATCCGCATTCAGATCGGAAAGGCAACCTGCAGTGCCTTGATCGATTGTGGAGCGTCTCGCAACTACATCAGCCAAGACTTCATGGCACGCACCGGGCTAGGCCCGCGCGTTCGAAGGAAAAGTCAGCCTACGCACGTCACGTTGGTCGATGGTCACACGCAAAAGTCAATCGACCGCTGCATTGACTCCGTGCCCGTGTACTTTGCCCCGCTAGCATGCGAGGCCGTGTCATTCGACATATTGGACACTAAGTTCGATATGATCTTAGGCATGTCGTGGCTGCAAAGCGAAGACCATCCGGTGAACTTTTATCGACGCACCGTTCACATTCGTGATCGACATGGCGAACTAGTCCCGTGTACGATGCCGCTTCCTCATCCTTCGATTGGTTGTCACGTGTCTCCATGGTGAGCATTCGCCAATCCATCCGGCGGAACGACATCGACGAGATGGGCATATGTTTTCTTCACGCCCTCCCACCCGGTGATCTGCCCAAGACGGACACATCGGACCCACGCATCATTGAGTTTTTGGACAACTATGATGATGTCTTCCAAGCTCCCGCCGGAGTAGTAACGGATTGGCCCATACGCCACGGGATCACTCTCGAGGACGGCGTCGTACCTCCGTGCGGATGCATCTACCGAATGAGCGAAGAGGAGCTTCAAGTGCTTCGGGCATAACTAGACGACCTCTTGGCCAAGGGCTGGATTCGCCTTAGCTGTTCGCCTTATGGTGCTCCCGTTCTCTTCGTCCGAAAGAAGAACACGGACCTTCGTTTGTGTATCGACTCGAAAACTAAAGGCCCAAATGATCAAGAACGTCGGCCCTCTCCCTCGGATCGATGATCTTTTCGAACGACTAGGCGGCGCCAAGTACTTCTCGAAGCTTGACCTCAAATCCTGATATCACTAGATCGAGATTCAACCAAGAGATCGATACAAAACCGCATTCAAGATGCGGTATGGGCACTTTGAGGGGATCGTCATGCCTTTCGGTCTCACCAATGTCGCCACTACTTTCCAAGCGGCTATGATGACGGAATTCCGCGACTTGCTCGATCGCACCGTACGTATTTCCCTTGATGATATCTTCGTTTATAGTCGGTCGTTGGACGAGCACCTTCGCGCTGTTTTGGAGCGGCTCCGTATCGCCAAATACAAGGCAAACCGTGACAAGTGTGACTTTGCCCAGCAAGAGCTGGAGTACTTGGGCCATTACGTTACGCCTCAAGGCATTCGTCCGCTCGCGGACAAAGTACAAGCCATTCAAGATTGGCCGGACCTCGCGTGTACCACCGACGTCCGCTCCTTTCTCGGCTTAGAATCATATTACATGCGCTTCGTCAAAGGTTTTCAACGGATCGCTGCACCATTGTCGCGACTTCAGTCCCCCTTGGTGCCCTTCGAGTTCAATGACGAAGCCTGACACGCATTCCATACGCTGAAGACGTCTTTGCTTCAAGCTCCCGTCCTAAGCATCTATGACCCGACCTTGCCTGCCAAAGTAACTACGGATGCTTCCAATTACGGCATTGGCGCGATTTTGGAGCAGCATGACGACACAGACTGGCATCCAGTTGAGTACTTCAGCCAAAAGGTGTCGCCCATCAATTCTCTTGATGATGCGAGGAAGAAGGAACTGCTAGCTTTTGTCACCGTACTTGACCGTTGGCGTCACTTTCTCCTCGGGCGTCGGCGATTCACGTGGGCAACGGACAACAATCCGTTGACTTATTACAAGACGCAAGACACGGTGAGCAGCACGATCGGTCACTGGATGTACTTCATTGACCAGTTCGACTTCACCTCCAAACATATTCCCGGCCCCTCGAACAAGGTGGCGGATGCTCTCTCACGAAGACCTGATCTTTGCGCCTTGGTGCACTCCACATTCGGCCTCGACGAGGACCTACAACAGCATTTCGTATACGGCTACAAGTCGGATCCGGGATTCTCTACACTCTACGCGGACTTATCATCGGATCACCCGCCGGCAAGCAACTATCGCATCACCGATGGCTACTTGCTCCTCCATACGCGGGGCACAGACTTGTTGTGTGTTCCCCAAGACCGCATCTTCCGCACTCGCCGCCCTGGCGAATACCACGATTCGCGGTGTAGGGGCCTGACCCTGAAGGACTTTCGAGCCTCGGTCGACCCCACTGCGGGTCCCATTTGGCTCGACCCGCCCACGCTCATGCTCAGGGCGCGGGTCGTTTGTCCCAGGGGCACCCCCACCTAGTGCTTTGAGATGGATGGGGATGGGCCTTTTGCGAGAGGGCTTTACATTGGGGGATGTAGCTCCGCTCCCGCGTCAAGATGGTAGCTCTATGGTCACTCGTGGCGTTTTCTTGATTCGATTAAGTTTGGCCAGGCAATTGCTCCTTCCAATACGCAAGCAGTCCAGGGAGTTTGTTGAAGGTTTGTCTTCTTATCATGCGCAGGCCAAGCGTCATCCATTGGGCCACGCACCTTTTTCACTAAGTCTAGTGGCTCAAGACAACCCCTACGGCATCCTTGGGGTAGGGTGGCATCGCTCGGACCCCTAGCCGCTATATTGTTTTTGCTTGAGCCACCAACATTGCATTCACCTATCCAAGACTGCCCTTAGTCCTTCCGGGCTTGCATTGCATTCAAGAGAGCCATTGCATTCAATCATCACACAAGCCCCATCCCGGCGTCTACCACTCATTCAAGCATCCGACCATCCAACCCATCCTGCATTCATAGTTTAAGCGGGGTCTAAGTCCTTCCCTCGTCGCTTTCCCTATTCCCGCCCGCATCCGGCGGACACAGTCCCGCTCAGACCACCCTAGGCTACTCACCTGCGCAAGACCACACAAGCAAAAACCAGGTACAATCCCCATTGGGGTCAACACATCGCCCCTCCCACAAGCCTAAGTTCCTTTTCCCTTTGATGATCCTTTGGTTATTTTTCCCTTCACTCAAGCAAACCATGCCTTCACCTTAGTCATGCAGTCGTGAAGATGGTTGAGTCAAACAGACCTCGTCCAAAATCAACGCTCCTTGTTGCTTCCGCAATTGCTCTCAATAGTTCCGTATCCTTCCCTTCTTGGTGGCACAGGGGACCGGCTGCCCTTCCCTTGCCCTCGCTTTCCACCAAGTGAGGACTAAGTTCCTTCCCGTTCGTTCCCTGGCAATGTAACAGGTGAGCGTGGAGGTTAGTCACATGCCATGGTGACGGAAGGGTTAAGGGTTAAAGAGTTTAGAAGGAATGGAGGAAGCGGAGGGCGAGGAAGAGGGAGAGAGAGAGAGAGAGAGAGAGAGAGAGAGAGAGAGAGAGAGAGAGAGAGAGAGAGAGAGAGAGAGAGAAAGACAAGAAGCTCCTCATCCTAATCGACCTTGCTCACCGACTTACCCTAACCAATCCTATCCGAGGTCCCGTGCATTCCCCTCGCGACTCCCCCTTAAGGCTCTCGATTGGACGGGGGAGGTGATAAGCGAGGGAGGGTTGGGATGTCCGGCTATGTTGGATAGGTGTAGGCGATGGAGGTTGAAGAAGGGTTGGGGTGTCCGGCTATGGTGGATGGGTGTAGGTGATGGAGGTTGAAGAAGGGTTGGAGTGTCCGGCTATGGCGGATGGGTGTAGGTGATGGAGGTTGAAGAAGGGTTGGGGTGTCCGGCTATGGTGGATGGGTGTAGGTGATGGAGGTTGAAGAAGGGTTGGGGTGTCC